CTAGATGAAGTTGGGGAATAGTGATGATGACACCCTATCCAAACCGGTCTTGAATCGGGCTACTGTTGGAGATGAAACAATATTCACTGGCAGCTTGATCCGTCGGTTAATGATTCTATAGGAGAAAACATTCGGCGCAACATTTTTAAGGTTCTTGGGTTTCTTGAGTTCGGGGCTTTGTCGTCGTGTTGTAGAGGTTTCTTCCAGAGTAAAGAGGTTCGAGGTAGTTTTGGACGATCTTTTCTTCTGTTTGAGTGATTCGATGAGCTATCGGAATACTGGCAAGATGATGGTAACTCGTCAGTACAAAGGGCTTGACGGTATCTGGGCTCAGTATCACTTCCTGGGACCCGACCTGACCTTGGTGCTCCGTCCAGCATGGAAGAAGTCGTTATTTTTTATGAGTCAACCAGCTGTCCGTTTCGTAGATCATTACGCTCACACCCTAAGCATTCACCGACTTAAGAAAGTTGCGCGTGGTTCACAAGGGCCATATATTATCTAACAGTAATATAGATGAAGCCAAGTATCCTGTACATAAAATCCTTGATCATCAAATGCCAGAATGAGGGTATTTCAGAATTCGCCATGGAATGCATAAAATGATAAAGCCGAGATTTCTACGTCCCGGAGATTTGGATTTGATTTGGTTGTTTAAATACGGTGAGGTTCATTAACTCTGCAAGGACACATAAGGATTCCCGCCGATTCATCGGTTGTGTAATCGTGATTTTTGTACCTTCGCCCTTGCGGAGATCGATTTCTCTCACGGATGCTAACTTGTTGTTTGCCAGTATAATCAATTCTGTGGAATAAGAACATCATGGCTCACGGTTCAGTTCTCGATGGTATGTCGCAAAGGTCAGGGACGAGACATTTGGGACGTACTACGAGTGAATCCGGAAGATTTCAGACAGCCGCTCCGATTATCTGTTATGTAACACAAGCGGATAACCATGTTTTTCACGTGGAAGTGGAGCAAAAAGCAGAAGGTCAGGATGTCCTTGAAAAGGTCCGTTTTATTTGACGAAAATATAATCCCGGTTTCACTCACATTAGATATGCAAAATGCTCGGCATAATGGATGAGGCAGAGTACTTCGGCATTCAGTTCATGGGATTTAAAAATGAACTGTTGTGGTTAAATAATCGGAATCGTTTATCAAAACAAATCCCTGGATCATCGCCATACCATCTCTACTTCAGGGTTAAATATTACGTCCCTCCGCATGCTCTCCTGCTCGAGGACACAAGGTGCGACGATCATTCATTAAATATATTTTTTAGGAATCAGTTTTATATGAATGTCGTACAGCAGTTGAAAAATGGAGTTTGGGATGCAGAATCAACATTAGAAACACAGGCTAATCTGATTGCATTGATGGCATACACTCAATTTGGACAATACAACGCTAATACAACACCATGTAAATATGCTTGCTTCTGGCCGGATTGCCGTGGTGAAATTCCACCCGAAGCTATACGCATGGCCGCAAACTTCCATCGTGATCTTGAGGGGTGTACAGTCTCCCATGCGAAATATGAGTTACTAAGGATTGTTTCCATGGAATTCCCATCATATGGGACACACTTTTATGAAGTGAAAGATATTTTTGATCGGAAGCTGATGCTTGGGGTTGGACCCGAAGGCCTTGCCCTGTGTTCGTCAAACAGTTCTGTGATTGAACGGTGAGTTGTTTCTGTGTCGACATCTTATGTCTTGGTGATTACTAGAAATTTGGTACTCAGTGTTGGAGTTTTTTCATTACACACCCAAGTGTAGCGGACAGCAGACGGGGCGAACCCCATAGTCACGAGGACCTGCTGTTCAGTGGTGGAAACTGGCAACCTAAGCCCCGGGACTTAAAGTGGTGAACCACATAAGGCCCCGATAGAAGTACATAAATACCTTAGAACTGTTAGAATTTGGATACAGTTCAGTATCTTGAAATAATAATAATAATATTAAACAATACAAATTGTATACCAAATTCAACATTGCCAACATAAATATAGTTTATTTCTTCTAAGTTTATTTCTATAACTGAAAAGACGCATCGTTCAATATATCCTGAGTCGGTAATACTCTCTTAGTTTACCAGATCTGGATTCTGTTTGGCCGTGTTTCGTTGAGAAAATTGCCAAAAAGCGGGCAAAATCAGCTTCTATGGATAAAGTCATGGTAAGAGTATGTTTTCATCACCAGTTGATAGTGATGCACTCGAGCTAATTTGGTGTCACATGTGGTGAAATATTTCACAGGTGGAATATTCTATTTGTTGAATTCAGATACAAGTTGGTTTTTTCAAGGGAAAACATCAATCGGTTTGATAATTTTTTAAAATATCACATCTCCGAATAGTGCAGTGTCGCCTTACCTTGTTGGGCGCTCAATCTGGACTCAGAGAAATGTAAATTTTTATTACGGCACATCTTTTTTCATTGCACCCAACCTAAAGATCAATATTTCACCTATATTATTCCTTTTGCCTAAATATTTTATAAACTGCATAATACAAACTCTACCTGAAGCTATAGTATCTAGCCTTTTGCTGCCCATATGACTCAAATTAACACGGTCATAACAATAACGCCTAAATATAAGATAATTTCGTGCATAATTATCTACCGGAATATCAGACATTTAAATGTTTTAATCCATATTTAGTAAGATGTGATGCATATGATTATTATTCTCTTACCAAGATCGCAGTGACAGGTGGCAAAGTACTCCAAGAAATGTTTCAGTTTCGTCAGATGAAGCATCCGGAATGAGAAAACTTAGAGCATGTAATGTGCATGTTTTATTGTTACCACAGGCATCTTGAGATAGTTTTTCCCCTCATTGTACTGAAATCGTGTCATGAAGTCATTATTTATTTATTTTATTGCCTAAGGTGGTTCAGGTAGGTGGTGATTTACTACTAGTAATGGCTTAAATCAGTTGCGTTGTTAAATCCCAAATGGGTTCAATAGGTTTGGCTTCCACTTACTGTATTCAGTATGTGAGGCCTTGGTATCCTTTAATTCCAAAGCTTAGTTTACGAGGTATTCTGTTTTATCCTGAGCTCTGCCATTTAAATTTAGCTGATTCTTGTTTATTTATTGACTTCGATGAAAATGCATCCGAAGTTTCAAAACCTAAGTTATCGGAATCGTGATATAGGAATGCAAGTTATTCGCTCGAATAATGGTGTCGTCCCCGGGCAACAACCTATTCAGTCAATAACAGCTTCTGTGCATTAGGACGTCTTTTATGGGTTACAGTCAAACGCTAACTATAAGAGAGAACTTACTAATTTTTGGATCTAACTTGATCTCTTTTAAGCTATAGCCTCTTACTTTCATGCCTCCATACTGATTTCTCAGTAATGCGATATATTTTCTAATGTACTGCTTAATATATTGATTGCTGATAACCTTAAAACTGATACTTTTGCTCCCTAGGTGATCATAATTAATCAAAATTAAAAGGATTATTGCTCGATAGTTTGTTTCACAGTTGAGACTCAAAATATTGTGTTTTTTGATAGTATAGCCTACGGATAGTATAAATATATTGATATAAATATGTTAACGGCAGCATAAATGTTAAACGAGTCATGGAAATTTCATTTAGTCAGGCGGTTAATTTAGTATTTTATAGTAAGATACCTTCACGTTTTTAGTTGATTTATGTTGGTGATTGAAAATGGTCTTGAAGAATTTAATACCAGTAAAAGAATTATTGGGTTTATTCCTGGGGCATTAAGATGACCATCGTTAATGATGGTGGTTAACGACCGACACATTTACGTATCAAGTGCTATGAATCAACCTAAACTATTTGCTTGGTTCACTTATAATCTCTTTATTCAACTTGCCGGCCTTCCTCTTGATTTCCACTGTTTTGAAACCTGGATGCGTGAACGCGGTTTAGCATTCAATTACTTCTCATTCAATTTCTTTGTTTTTATTAATTTTAATGATCATGATAAAATGAACTATAGTAAGTTGGGTAAGAGTTGAAGCTAATTCAATGTAAACCGAACGACAACAGCTTCAAATTTTCAGGTTCAATGTTTATCGTTGCTAATGTTCTTACAAAGCAAACTTTTATACACAAGTCTCAAGTAAACCATTCGCAATACGAGTAAATTAATACTAATCCAATGTTCGAATCCGCATTTCTCATTCCACTAAATCTAATGAGAACTGTTAAACTGTACTGTGCCTTTAAATTAAGTAAATCCGTTTGATGGATGAATTCAAAATATCAGATATCGGACCAAATTTCGAAATAAGCACTCTTTGATCGAGGGAACCGAAGGTGTTGGCCTATTCAAGAAAAGTCAAACGAGCGGTGTCTGTCTGACTGAAGCAGCAGAGTGAGAAATTTGAGTGAGCGTCAATTGTGTCAGGCGGGATTTGTAGGTAAACTATGGGGAGTCATAGGAGCTCTATAGGGGTATCATGTGGTACAGTGAAACATTTTCAAAAGCTTTCAGCAACACAGAAAAGCTTAGCAGTTGAACAATACTTTCACAATCCTTTTTTTTGGGGGGGGGGGGGTTTCTAATCCGTGCTGTCCTCTAATAATCGCGGATTGTTTCTAATCGGGGTATGCTTTTAAAGATGAGTTTCAAATAGGTCAGGGCCAGGAGCTTTGTTGACCTTGAGTCCCATCAAGACTTAGAGCACGTCATTTTGAAAAACAGAGTTAGTTGTCCCACAGGTTGTAAACGAAGATGTGAGCGAACTTGATGTAGGTACGCAAGCAAATTGATGATTTAATTACTCAACCTTGGAACAGAAGCTGATGCGTGGGCCACAAAGTTTTCGCAAAGTAGACCACATCTCACGACAGTCTTTATTACACAAGACGGTCTCTACGTATATTCCGTTCATACTTCCTACTTCAACTGAAATCAGAATAGATAGTTACTTTGCACTGGTTTGCGTATTGGTCATTTTAGTTGTCTCTTAGAGTGACGGGGTGACTTAATTTAGAGGGAAAGGGGGAGTAGGGGGAGCAAAACTTATCCG